GGACAGAGCCTGGGGATGGGAGTTAGGATGCAGAGCCCTACAGATGTAGCTGTAAGACCTAAGGTGAGGATCTGGATGTCTCTGATCATGTTACCCAATTGTCATGAGGATCATACAATTCAAGCATCAGATAATGATAGCAATGAATTATAACACATTGGGTGGAAGAAGGACCTCTGAGTCCACACAGTCAGAAATAAATGAATACATAAATAGACGTCCTCGGCAAAGCTCTTCCTATGGTATTCTTACAGTAGAATGCGACTGGGAAATGGAGAAGACATGATGGGTTTAGAAAAATCACCATTTGCTACCACAGTAATAATCGATTCAGGCAAGAATCCTCAATTGAGACTAAAACGAGTGAGTGCAGGGATATTTACATATCTCAAAGTATCTTTCCACAAACTACTTAAGGATAACAAGGGGAATATCATATCTTTACAGTGGGGAAACTGAAGGCACCATATTAACCAAGTGATTGAGATCCACATCCTCCATAATGGGACAGATACGACGCACGGAGAAGGACACATCCCTTCTGTGTTATTTCAGCCAAAATTCATAACTTGAACCTAGTCAGGCAACAAACTGAGGGACTTTCGGCAGAATAACTGGTCTGAGCTCTTCAAAAAATTTCGAGGTCACAAAAGACAAAGAGAGGTGAACTGTTCTAAATGGAAGGAGTCTGAGGAGACACGACAAGTAGATGCATATGTGACCCTGAACCAGCCCCTGAAATAAGATAATAAATGGCTACAAAGAGCATCAGTGGGAGAAGTAGCAAATGTGAATATGGCCCATGAACTAGATAACAGGATTGTGTCCATGTTAATTTCCTGATCTTGGCCATTGTACTGCGGTTGTGTAAGAGAGTGTCCTTGTTCTTAGGAAATACACCCTGAAGTCTTTAGGGGTGAAGAAGGAAGTGAGATAATGCATTGGAGACCTTGGTTCCTGGCGTAACTAGAGACTGGATACAAGGCTACTTTCTTGGGTGTTCCCAGGAAATACGCCCCTGGCTGGAGGAAGCAGCCGTTTGCCTGGTGCTGTCATGCCCTGCAGACAGATATGAACTGCCTGGAATTAACCCTCAGTGCTATGTCACAAACCCATCCTGACTGGGGAGCGTGGCTCTGGTCCATCACAGTCCCCAGGTCTTCTTTGTCCCGTGCCATCAGCTGCCCATTACTCAGAGAGCAGGCCAAAGACACGATGTTCTCCTGTTTATGTACTGTCTTCACTCCCAGTCAAAACCCGATAGAAAATGGATCAAAACAAAATTAACTTGACAGGGAAATGGATATTTGAATGAAGCTTCTGCTTAAGACAATAATTTATCACGTTCCATCGTACGTCTCCACAAAACCAGGATCACGGGTGGTTTAGCTGAAATGAGGGAATTCATTACTCCGGAAACCTCTCTGGGACTCATTTCACAGGGGTTGGAGATTGTGGAGAAAGAAGGAGGGAACAGACGTCAACCAAGCCCCCAAACCTGTCAGACGCTGTTGGCCCATTTCCATGCACAGCCCCCTTGGATCCTCATATTTACCTGGAGATAATGATCAGTGGCCAACTGCACCAGTGAGGACACTGGGGCTCTCTGGAGTCTGAAGGCCAAGCCTGAGGTCACCCAGCTCAGAAGTGAGGCACCAGTGTTTCGAGGTGGAAGCATCACCATTGGTCTCATCAAGGCCAGAATGGGCTGACTCGTTCCTGCATGGCTTCGGACCTCCCAGGAGAGTCAGGCCTGTTTCTAGAGAGGGTCGGGTAGGGGGAAGCCACAAACCCTGCCTTGCAGTTGGAAGCTCTCAGCCTGGTCCCAGGACACATAATCCCCCTGGGTGCTCTTACAGATGACTGGCAGATGTCGGATAGCCACAGAGAAAGTGTCGTGGAGTGAGGAGCCTTGGTTAGAGGGCTCAAGAAGGCAGTTCATATAATTTACTCAATCATTTACTCATTCATTCATTTGGCAAACACAAATTGCATACCTACTATGTACCGGATGCTATGGAGATAACATGGAACTTAGAGGCTAGAGACTCAAAATCTGGTCTCTGGATCAGCAGTATTACCTGGGAACTTGGTAGAAATGCAAATTCTCAAGCCCTACCCCAGACTCTCTGAGTCAGAAGGCCCAGCGTCCGTGTTTTAGCAAGTCCTCACGGTGATTCTGATGCATACTCACGTCTGAGGACTGCTAAACTCACATGAAATAATGACAGGCCGTGATAAGAACAGCCAGGGACACAGGTACCTGATAACATTGGGGCTCTGACCATTGTAAACAGAACCCAGGATCACATAGAGATGCCCTTCCCGCTTCCACCCTGTCTGGAAGTCTGGTTTCTGCTTGCCCCCAGACTAAGCAGCTTTGTGCAGTATCCAGCAAGTGACCCATGGCCTAGCTCAGCCTGGGTACGCTGATCCTGCTGGGAGCCCAGGGACGCCCTGAGGGACCTGGGGCTGGGGGGCAGCTGACAAGAAAGGAGCCAGCTGGGCCTCAAGATAGTGACTACCTTCTTAGATTGTGTCTCTCCTTCATAAAGTGAAGGATGTCAGTGAGTCAACCAGAATTTGCAGTAATCAATGACAGTCTGATCAAAACTGGGCAGGGACTTTGAGAAGTATTTGGGACAACAGTTCACAAATTTTAGTGTGCAAGAGAAATCATACAGGGAGTTTATCAAGCATTCAGACTGCCAGGCCACGCCCCCAGATGATTCTACAGTAGCTCAGTGGCAGGCCCAGAATTTGCATATTTTACAAGGCCGGGGGTAATCAGTGCAAGTGGTTTGAGCAACGCCGTTTGAGAAAGACTATTTTGTGTGCTGTACTCACAGGAGCCGGCTCTCAGCCCGAGCCACATGCCTGGGCTTATAACCCAACCATCCCTGGCTTCTGGGCACCTGGAGACAAGTCTGTAGTTTGGTGCAGTTTTCTCAGAAGAGGATGAGTAACTACGCTCATCTGATGGGTAGAAGGGCCTTTAGCCTGGCCGGGGAGGGGATAATGGCACTGTAAGCAACAGCGAAATAACGAAGCCTTCCTCATTTTATAAAGGTTGCTTTAAAATCTAATTAGAATACGAAAGTTGAGATCCCGGTCTATTTTTAAACAAAGCATGAGTTCAGCAGGAGTAATCAATACTGGAGGTGTGAGCTGCCCGTGAGCGTTCAGTGGGGCAGACAATGAGCTTCCTTTGGGAGGAGGCCTTGAAAAATGGGACAAGTGCAAGGAGAAGGAGGGGACCAGAGATAGAGACAGACGGGGCTCTATGAGGTGGGGACAGCTAGGGGGAGATCATGAAATCTTCGTACCCTCTCCAATGTCCCATCTGGCCCCTCGAAGCACAGAGTGGGCGGCTGCACTGTGGATGGTGTGTGGCCTCTTCCACTGGATTAGATGAAGCAGCTACACCCTATATTGACTGTCGAGGAGAGAGAGCTGTGGGGGTGGTTTAGTGAAAAACAGCATGAATTTTTGGAGCCAGATCCTAAATTGAAGTTCAGTGCTGCTCGCTCACTCACTGTGTGATTTGGTAAATCTTGCAACCTTTCGAAGCCTCAACTTCTCCCTCTGTAAAATGGCGATAATAATGCTGACATTGAAAATGATTTAATGACATAATAATAGCAGTAACAGTTAACATGTATGGAGCACTCACTACGCGCTTTGCATGCATGCATTATTCCAGCTGGTCTTTACAACAACCCTCTGAAGTTCAGGGAAATAGACGGACTTGTCTTATTAAATGCAAATAAAGCATTCAGGATAGTGTCTGGTACAGAGTAGGTGTCAATTAATATTTGTTTCCTTCTGCTTCCCAGGGGATGGTAAGGAGGCTCGTTTTCAGAGAACAGAGCACTCCCGTCTGCTATGCTTGCCCAGCAGGCAGTGACGGCCGATTGCTCGTCTTCTAAGCCAGAGCCAGGCTTCCAGAACCCCTGGGGGAGTGTTTCTGATCCTGGGGCTGCCGACAGCAGAGCAGGCAGATTTGGTAGTGCCTGCATGAGCCAGTGTGCACAGAACCTGGAGACGCTCACATGACAACCGTGGGGCTGCTGCCTAGGAACATCCCACCCAGATTTGCCTTCCTTGAAGAAAAGTAATGCAAAAGGCCATTTTTCACTTTTAAATAGCTTTCATTCTATGTCTTAATAAATGCACGTTTGTTGATTTGTGTAAGCATGATGTGGGAAGTCTGCAAATGGATGTAATCTGTGCCGAGGGCACATGTAAGCACCGGCGAGCACTTTTGAATAATGAATCGCTCCCGTAAAAGACGGACGCTATTCATAATAATTCCTTGCTTTTCTCATTTTGCCGCATACAGTAGCGATTAATCAATTTGCAATGTTATGTCACCCGCAACAAATTGCTAGCACTAAGACAAATTTATTGCTTTATGATAAAAGGACTTGTTTAGGGAGAAATAAATTAAATTTGGAGGGCTGTCCTTTGGGTTTGATGTTCACATAGGTGAGCCATAGAGAGTGGCCTGGGAAGGGGAGAGGTTCAAATGATTCCTGCATTGACCTGGACCCCCAGAGAGGAGTACGAAAGCAGGAGAGCACTTGCTTAGTTACTGACCCCGAGGCAGTGCAGCTCTGATGGGAGACAGTATGGCAGAGAGCTTGCGGTGGGTCTTGGAAACGTCTGCCGGGCTCCCCGTCAGTAAGTGTAATTTAGAGCTTTTCACAGAGAGGTTTGGACAATCAGCAATGCTCCAGGGAAACACACCCTCTTCTCCCTCTATGCTTCCTCCGAACTATGGGATCTTAATTTACCTGAATTGGTAGAAGGGAACTTAATTTATAGAAACTGGAGAGCAAAGGAAATCTACAATATAGGCACTAGGAATGGGGCTGAGGGATCAGAAGGCGACGGAGGTCCCGATCCTTCTATTTATTGAGGCTGCAGGTGTATTAAAATATTTGGGGAAAAAAGACCAAAATGGTATTACCAAAATTGTGGGGCAGTAAATGTTACATTCAACTAATGAATACTTTTAACAGACGCCAAATTTAATTCCATAAAATGGTGTTATTAACAGAGACACTGTCTGTATCTTCAACTGGAGGCCCTTCATTGCATAAAGGCCAGGCCGAATGGGTTCCCACCACGGCAAGGGTGACTTGCAGACAGCAGTCCCCGTTCCCCCACATCACATTTGTAGAAAAGCAGCTCAGGGACAGGAAGCATTTTGCCGGAGGACAGTGAGGGAGTGTGGAGAAGCATCTGACTTCCAGGACATTGCACACGTTTGTTGTTAATTTATACTCCATTAATCTGGAATCTGGAGTGGAATCAGGGGCTAAGCCACTAATTTTACCCCCTCCTCCAACACACACACACACACGTTCAGGACAGGGTTTTTTCTTAAGCAAAGTGATAGTCTAAGACGATTTGTGAAAAGCAGGTTTCAGTTAGGAAGGATGTCAGTTCAATTGCCCAAGTAAGTGGATTTTTCTCTCCCAGCTCATCAAAACCCGTTCCTTTCTGCTCTTAAAGCAGGTGTGGGGACCACCTCCTGGAATACCTTGATATACCCATTCCACCTGCCAGGGAAAGTGCCCCAGTGATTTTTTCTTGGGCTGTGGTCTCTGTCTGTCATCCTGGTCTCATTTCAGCCTTGAGGAGGGGATGCATGAAGGCCTCCTGCCTGCAGAGGCGACTGCAGTCTTCCTGCAGTATCTGAGCGGACTCTTGGCGGCCCTTCAACCCCAATGTCCACACCCAGAGCCCCGTGAACAATGGGGAGCAGAGAACTCAAACCTTTTGCCAGGACCCTTTCTAGCGCCTTGTGGCTGGAGGGGCCCAAAGGGGCGCATGGCAGCCTCCAGGGGATGCTGGACTCACCTGCTGACGGCTTCTTTGTCTTCCACTGTGCCTGCTCTCTGGGCTCTAGTCGGCCCAGGTCCTGGCTGGGGCAGCCAGCACCCCTTGTGCCCCTGGCCAGGCTTGCGCACTCCCTGAAGGCCTCCCGAGCCGAAGGACCCGCAGGGCTCCGGGCCGTCTGCGGGGCTGGGTTGCCCTGCTCCCGCTGCCCGCCTGCTGGCTAATTCTGATTATTTCTCTTTCTCCTTGCTCTCTTGGGCGCCTTTATTCCTGACCGTGCATTTTCTCTGGGCTCGGGATTAGAAAAAAACCCACACTGCTAATATCCTTGTCAGCCTTTTCCTGAATCATTGCCGCGCAGCTCCAGGGAGCCACGGGCCAGCGCCTTCTGGCCGGCAGACTCCATCCCTGGGCCTTCCTGTCCTTGGGGTCCTGGAGCCCCCTCTCTGAGTCTCCTCATCTCCTGAAGGCAACACCTAGAGTCCCAGATCCTCTGAGAAACGCCCAGCCGGGGGAAGCAGATGGGCCTGAGAACTGAGAGTCCAGCTGAGCTTTTCCATCTCACAGGTGACTTCTCTCAAATGCTATTTAAAAAAAGAATTTTGAAGTGCTTTTCTCTACTTTATCTCATTTGCTGTTATTATCCCTATTTTATAGATGCGCAATCCGAACCTCAGAGGGCCTGGTGATTTGCTCAAGGTCACACAGCTACCAAGGGTCGGGACTCCAGTCTCCAAGTGCGTAACTCAGGTATGGAAGGAATAAACAGCCCAACTTGGCAGATGAGGAAACTGAGGCTCACGTTGCTGAAAGGGCCTGTCTCAAATCATGTAGCCATGAGAAGTGGCTCTAGAAGTGGGATTCAGACACCCCAACATCCAGGCCAGGTCCCAGTTCTGGGCAGGGTTCTGTTTGCCGTGTTGTCCATGAAAAGCCAGGTCAGCCCAGGCTGGGAAACACCCACCAGGAAATACTCAAAAGTCTCAAGTCTGGGAGTCCAAGGAGGCCAGGGGCCTGCCCCAGTTCCTCCTGTCTCCTCACATGCACACAGGACCTGGTGGGAAGCCCACGTTTGTGTTTCCAGGGAGGCCTGTTTAACTGCTTTAGCCTGTTGTACTGTCTGCTCTGGGATGACAGATCAAACGTGACTCTGGTTGGTAATAGAAGTTTCCACAAATTCTGGTTCAGGATGGACCTATCAGAGACTCAGGAAGTAGGTCCCATTTAGCAAATGCCCCCTCCTCCAGGCAACCCTCCCTGCCTCTTCGAGACAGAGCAGACCCTCCATCCTTGGTCCCCCAGCACATCCCACACACACTCCTCTGAGTGGTCACATTCTTTCTGAGAGGGCCAACTGTTTCCTCACCGTCCCTCTCCTCGGCTGAGCTGTGGCCATTTAGCCTCTCACGGAGTGATCACCTCTTTACGTGTCCACAGATGTACAATCACCTGGACACCAACGTGCCCAGTCACAGTCACTAATACACACGGCCACCACCCTCATCTTTTCCTGGAGACACAACTACACGCAGAGACACTGTACCACACATGACACTCAGAGTGTCGTGTGCCTGCATGTGCACACATGCGTGCACACCCCCACAGACAAACACAGACCCGCTTAGAGACGAAGATTCCGTTCGTGTCTGTACAGGCCGCTTTTTCCAGGTCATCTACCTCCGCTACCCCTGATGCTCTGTGTATCCTCCCTAGAACAGAGACTGTCTGGCCTATGGGGACTGGGAATTTGGCCTACTCAGGCCCAAAGTTTGTTGGGTACCAATCTCTAACCCTGGGAACTTTCTGGACAAATAGCCCATTCCAGCTGGGCCTCTCTTTGTCCTGTTTCCCAGATAGACCAGCCTTGACTATCTCCAGGTGGCATCTGCCCACATCACACTCCCAATCAGATAAGCATTCTTCCTGTGGGCCCCCAGGCCCTGTCACCACCTCACCTTGCCACCTCGGCACTTTCTCAATAACTCACCAAGGTCAACTGTTGCTCACTCAGTGATTTTCTTTCCCCTTCGCATCTGAAGCTCTCTTTTCGCTCTGGACCAACGCCTTCCTATCCCTTGCCTGCTCCTGAGGCTGTTGGCTTAATGGAATAGAAGACGAGGAAGGGAAGGAGAAGCCAGAGTCTCTGCAGAACTCTGGTTTGTTCCCCGCCCAAAGATACTTCAAGTCCTGGGAGTGGGGCAGAGTGACAGAACGCAGGTCCTGGAGTCTGACCGGCTTGGGCTTGAGCTCCAGCTCTCCCCTTTCCAGCTGCGTCACATTGGACAGTTACTTGGCCTCTGCAAGTCCCAGTTTCTGCTTCTGTAAAGGGGGAACAACCATTTGAACCTCACAGAATTCTTGAGAGGATTAGATGAGGTTAAATGCAGGTAAAAAGCCCTTGATAAATGACAGAGTGCTCTAAAAATGTTAGTGAATAAGATTGTCGTTTTAACAATAAGCTTATCCCTGTCCTCACACCTCTGAGTTCCCTCCGAGACTCAGGTGGGATCTGAGTGGATGGTCAAAGAAGGCTCAGCCTCCAGCAGGGGAGGGAGGTGAGAGGCTGGGCAGTTCTGGGCCCCTCTTACAGAGCAGGAGAGAGCTGGGTGGGCAAGGGGCCCCCTTTACTGGTGTGGGCTGTCCCAGCTACCTGTCGTCCATCAGTTATTGCTTGTAAGGCCCAGGGATCACCCTTCTCCTGTGAAACCGGGAGTGAGGGAACTCACAGACGAGGAGCCTTACGTGAGTATGGGCCACATCTGTGCTGGTCATTTTCACACTTATCCCATTTAATCCCAAGACAATCTGGTGGGGGAAGGATTATTACAAACTGGGAAGCTGAGGTCGGAAAGATAACATGGCCCCTAAGTGACTGGGTTGGGACTTGAACCCTCAATTTCTGACTTCACATCACGGGCTGCTCCCCAGCCTCCTGGCCGCTTTGGAACATGAACAGTAGAAAAAGAGAACTGAATTGCAATGATGAAACCTGCTTCCTCGTCCTCGGAGGCAAGAGGCTGAACAAACCCATTCTGTAAGCGGTACTTACAGTGAATCTTACTCCATAGGACGATGCAGACAAAGACCTAGTTTATGCAGCTGAATATGAAATATGGCTCTTGTCTTAGGACATTTGTATAAAAAGACTATTTCTTTCCTGCCACAGCCTCAAAGCCATCTCTTGTGGAAGTACTGCCTTCTTATAGGAGGCAGATTTAGAAGGCAGAAGAAAGGGGAGCTTTTCCATGAACTCACCAGGGGCCATCAGGTAAGTTTCATTTTCTCTCTGGGCCTCAGTTTCCCCATCTATAAAAGAACATGGTTTTTTGGGGGTGATTTCTCTGGGTTAACTTCTAATACCCCCAAACCACAGCTATATTCTCCAACGTAGAACTGACGTTAGATCAACAATTTATGTTTTTCCAGCTGGTAAATTTACTTACTAGAAAATTCTTATGAAGGTGGATCACTTAAATGGCATTTGGTTAATGCATTTCAAAAATCCAAGAATAAGTTCACGTCAGGTGTAGAAACCTAGGGAGAAATGGCTGCCCCAGTCTGACTCTATGATGTTCAGAAAAGAAGAATTTTTGGCTTCTGAAGCTTGTGTCCTTGTCACAAGTCCTGGCTCTCCCTCATTTAGAGAAAGCAGCCAGGTTCCTGGTCCAAGGTGAATGGCCCACCTTTGTCTGTGTCTGAGGTGACCGAAACCTTTGCAGGGCCCTTCTTTCTTCCAGAAACAGAAGTATTGTGGGTGGCCGCTGGCGTTGGCCTCCTGGCTGTCAAGGGGGTTTGTGCTAAGGAAGACACAGCCCGGGAAGTGTGTTCTCCTGCACTTTCTTTTGGAGGTAGGGGGTGGGCTGAGGCAAGGGTATCAGCATCCAGCTGGTTCCTGTTCCAACAAATCAATACGTTGACAGAGCCACTCTCCTCGGCTGTGTGTCCGTTTAAACGTGGATCCCCGTGTGGGATTCAGGCTGACCCACTCCGTTTGGCAAATGCAAATGCATTAACCTTACAATTGGGTAATCTAATAAAAAGGATCAATGGTCTGATATGGTGCTTATGGAGTCATTTGCTGCAAGCGAGAGCAATTTAGCCAGGACCCAGATGAGCGGCTTGGGGGAAGCTGAGAGAATGGTTCACGCCGGCCTTTGTAGCTGACTTCCCAAGGCGAGGCCCGCTCTGCCCGGAGTCGCTGGGCCGAGTGGGTGAGGGAACGAGGAGGGTGTTATTCATTCATTACTGCCACTTTAATCACTTAGAGGTTCAATTAAGTATAAATCATTAGTGGTATTTCAAGTTACTTTCTCTAAGCCCGCGCATAACACACTTGACTGGCGGTGAGGAGCTTTCTGTGACTAGATTTAGCGTGCGAGTGAACAAGGCAGTCATATGGGTTTTTCTGCTATGAAATTGATAAATGAAGCGGGCATTCGAGGTACAGCAGTAATTTCTGTGGCGCAGCCAAGTGCTCGCTCCCTTGTCTCCTGCAGCGATGAGGGCATGGGCCCCCTTAATACGGCAGCCTTCCCCTGGGGCCCCAAAGGCCAGGTTGGGCCGCAGGCCTAGGGCTTATTTCCTCCAGAACTTCCCAGAACGAGCCCTGGTTCATTAGTGGGACTATACCTGGGGAGGAAAAAAAAAAGGAGAAAGTTAAAAAAAGAAAGGTTCCTTTGCCGTCGTTCACTGGCGCTGATTCTGTCGTCATTTCTTCAGAGTAGCAAGCGAGCAGGGAGAGAAGGACGCAATCAGGCTGTCTGGGCAGCTTGGTCCCCTGTCCCCATGGATGCAGTCGTCCCCAGTGGCCGGCATCCCTGTCTGGAAAGCATATTTTCTCCTAATCGGTTTTACAGCTCTTTTAAAGTAATATGTCAGATCATTTCCCCCATATACATAGTTAATGAAAGTAACCCTACAAATTCATTTTAAATAGATGGAAGTTGTTATAACCCTGATCCAGAATTTATTACGTTCATTACAATCTTGCTGAAGTAGGTAATGTAATGGACTATTACTTTTATTATCTTTTTAATCCCTCAAAATTATTAGGAACTGACTAATATTTGGCATCACCCTGTTAATGTTTAAACAGAAATTGATACTTTAATTCGTCTAATAAATGATGAGGACACTCTGAGTGGAAACAAAAGCCTGATGAGGTTTATCTCGATCAGTCCCAAAGATCTTTAAGTGGGACTCAGGGGTCTGAAGGCAATTATTTCCAGGCAGGGTGTCTTCATCAAGTGCTCAGAAAGGACAGGAGAGCAGAGATGGAGATGATGACAGAGGACCCAGACAGATGCTACGGAGAAAGGCAGAAAAGTGAGAGGGAGAGAAATTCCACCCACACATCCAAGTTCTAATTCCGATTCTCGAAAAGCTCTGATTTGGGCTGATAACCACACTCATGAGCTCTATGGATCTTTTCCTTCTTGCCTTCGTCCTTCCCTCTCCTTCCCAGATTAAAAAGATTTTTCTTTCCAACCATTCCTGTGTTAGTCATCAGCTTTATGGCTAAGAATTCTCAAGTGCTCTAGAATCCGTGCGTTGCCGAGACAAATGATTGGGTCACATTCTCCTAGCGAGGAGTGGAGACCCTGCTGGCTCTTCGGAAAATAACGATGGCTATTCAATTTGCAAATTACCAGATCTCACCGTGAAATGGGAGGGGGCCGGAGGGGCATCCCGTTGTGTCTCTTCCAGAAGCGGCTGAGCGACTCGTGTTTACCCTCCAGAGCTCTCCCTGACCCGTTTCCTGCCGGGATGGTGACAGGTGGAATTTAGGAGACATTGATCTCTTGCACTCTAGTTTTTACAAGGCAAAATGCAATGCTAGTCACTTAAATTAGAAAAAAATTCTGTTAGTTCTATCAGGGTGAGAGGAACAAAGTACTTCGCTTTCTGGCTTACCAAAAGACGGAGAGGTACGTCTGGGAAAGGAAAAGCTGGCATTCTGCGTCACTCCAAGGCAAGGGCGTGTTTTCTAACAAAGAAAGCTTCCAATTAGCAAAGTCACTAATTAGCACAGAGAAGCTCATTAGAATTTAAAGCTGCTTTACTGTGTCTCACGGCTTTGCTCTCTCCAAACACCCCGAGTTTCCAAAGCAAGAATGTATTGATTAAATTGACTCAGCATGAAATGCGTCTCATTTGTGCCGACCCCATCTAGAGGTGGCTTCCCAGCTTTCCTGGCAGAAGAGCTTGCCAGGTGTCCCGTGAACGGGGCCCAGGAGGGTAGGCTGGGGACAGCGTCCTGCCTGCCTGTACAGCTTTGCTGAGTCGAGGGACTGGCTGGCTGCCCATCATTCGGCTAAAATCTGTTTTGATCAATGGAGGGGAAACATGCCTTTAACTAAGTTTGCTCCTGACGCCTTATAAATCGCGCTGGTTGCTTTCGTCAACGCCGAGTTGACAAGGGCTATGTGTCGTTTGGGGCTTGATAAAGAGACTAAAAGGCAGCTTCTCAGCATGTTTATTTTTAATAGACATAAAAAATGAAAACAGGCTTTCTTACTCTTCCGAACCCTCGTTGACAGAAAAATACTGAGTGCACGCAAGTGGCAATGTATAGGGGGAAATCTTGGAGGAAGAGGGTTTTTTTTTTTTTTTTTTTTAACCAAAGTATCCTTGTGAACTTGAGGACAGCTTCAGAACTGAGAAAGACTGGGCTCCAGGAAGCTGCATTATTTCCTTCTTCAACATGAAGCGCCAGGTGCGATGTTTAGGCATCAACATGTCAGAGCTGTGGTGGCATTCTCTGTGGGTATGAGAAACCCAGTCTATTTCTACCACATCTATTAGAAAGGCAGCATTGCAAATTTAAGTCTTGTCCTCTGAGGCACGTCACTGGAATTCAAACCCCTCTCCTTTTTCTAAACCTTTACTTAAGAGAAATAACTCCTCTGCAGCTCTACTAGATGCGTATGGCACTAAGATAATTTCAAGGAGACCATCAAAGCAGAATGAATATACTTTCAAAAGCCAATTTAAAAATATTACAACGAATGTGACAAAGGGCTAACGTCCTTCATATAAAGAGAACTCTTTCAAACTGATAAGAAAGGTATCAAGATTCTAAGAGAAAAATGAAGAAAATGTGTGAAAAAGCACTTACTGAAGAGGAAATTCAACTAACTAGTATTTATCAACTATTTACTATATACCAGGTGTAATTTACATGGGATCTCGCTCATTTGTTCTTTGTAAAGACCCCGTGAGGTAGATGTTATTATTCGCATCCCTAGTAAAAGATGAAGAAAAATAAAGCTTTGAAAAGTTAAATAGTCTGCCCCAAATCATACAGATTGCAGGCAGGATTCAAGACCAGGCAGCTCGATCTAGTATGTGCTCCTAACTGCTCTGCTGTAACCCCACAGATTCACAGATATAATTATGTAAGAAAGCTGAAAAAAAGATTCTTGTTTACCAGTAAAGGAAAACTGTTAATTTAAAACAGAAAAATTTTACTTATTAAATTAACAGAGAATTTAAAATATATTAATATTCAATGCTGGCAAGGATGGGTTGAAACAGATGTTCTTAAATATGAATTGCAATTTGACAATCTCTACTAAGAGTCTTAAAAAGGTACAAGTCTTTTGAGCCAGAAATGCCATTGTAAATAATTTATCCCAAGGAAATAAAAATGTAAGCCAAACTTTAGGCACATATCTGCACTGGAGTGTTGGAAACTGGCTAAATGTCCCAGATTAGGGGAAAGGTTAAGTAGATTATGGTCCACCCATTCAGTGAAATATTGGAAACAACTAAAATGATGTTGTCAAGGGTTTCTAAGAATATGGGGAAATGCTTATGCTGAGTGAAAAAAATTGGGGTATAAAATTGCATGTATAATGTTAATCATGTAGAATAGGGATAGAGATAAGAATGGAAGGAAACATAAAATCTGAACTATAAGCTGTTCTCTGTGTAATGGGATTCTGTATAATGGGATATCTTTTTGTTGTAAAATATTTTCCAAATTTTCTACAGTAAACACGTTGTACTTGTCATCATGGGTAGGGGACATCCTTTATGACTTTTAAAAGTCAACTTCTTAAGTTAAATCTCAGACCTAATGGGGATGAATGGCTGTACTGAATTAACCTAAGACACTGGGTATATTGCTCCCTGCAGAGGCCTGGGACACCTAAAAGCAGCCCTGTGTGTTCTTGAGCACTCTGAGTGTCCCTGTCATCTGTAACACATCCACTCACGGGGTTATTGTGAGGATAAAATATGTGTAAAGGCCTTAGAACAGTGCTGACACAATGCGGGCACTCAATAAATGTACATAGTGATAATAGTAGTAATACATTAATGATATGGGTGTTCTTTTGTTAGTAGAATGGAAGGGCTGAGGAGCCAGCGGCACCAAGAGTGTGTATGGACTGGCTTGTCTTGAGACAGGGCTAAAGCATCTTTTGTTGGTGCCCACCATTCCAGTCCCAGATCTGAGCTCCTGGTGGTGTCCAAGTCTTTAGTCAGCTGCTGCAGAGGCTAAGGGGCTGCTCTTTGCATGTCCGGGGACCTATATGCAGACCCTCAGTCACCCCCACTTCCTGGGTACCTTCTTGGGGCCAGGCACTATGCTGAACCTTTTCACATAAGGATTTTCTCCCCTATGACTTTGAGAAGCCTGTTTCATTAGCATCTCTGCTTTATGGCTCAGAGACTGGAAGTCACTCTCCTGGGTCACAAAGCCAGTAAGTGGCAAAGCTGGACTTTGAAACTGTGTTGATCTGACTCTCGAGGTTTTGGAGAAGAATGGCAATATGGCTGAGAATATAGCTTCTGGGAATCAGAAAGATCTGGGGTTATGACTTTCTGTGTGGCTTCAAGCAAGTCATAAAGGTGCCTAAACCTCAGTTTGCTTATCTGTAAGTTGGAACAGCACTATATCTCACTTGGTTCAAGAAGCTGGTGATTGCATGTTGCACTGCTATTTTATGCCAAGCAAAATACAATCATCTCTAGTTAAACTATGACATGATACTTTCTTATTCCTTAGAATTTGAATTTTATACTTATGGAAAGAACTCTCAAGTTTATTTAGACATGGATTTTTATCATAAGATCTTTGTACATACAAAAAAAAGGGAAAAATGAGTGAAATAACTTGCTTAAGGTCTTCCTAAAGCTGCTTTATATTCAGGAATTGACTCAGAATTGTCAACGTCTGCGTTTTCCTACGCACTAGCATCTTCTGCAACATTGCAAGCATTAATGGTAGCATTTCTTTAAAAGCCATCCTATATTTTCCTCGGGATTTTAAGCTGCAGATTCTTGTTCTATAAGTTTTGATGTGTGTTCCCAGATATGACAATGACATGAAGACTGCTGTCAGGCTGACAGTGATTTTAAAAAGCATCTCAATTTCAGAGATGTTAAAATGAGAAAAAGAAAGCGTCTGTCTTAGAATGGGTGAAACGTGGTAGCTCCCTTATAGGGTTGTTAGGAGAATTAAATGAGGTTGTACTTGGAGAGGACTCAAGGACAAGACTGGACGCACCGTCAGTGCTCAGTATCATCATCGTCGTCATCATCATCATCATCGCTATTACATTCTGTTCTCTGAGAAATATCGCACATATATGTGGCTCCCTAGAATCATCCTCCAGACTCTGAGCCAATGTGGGTGCTGATGGGTGACCCCTGTGTGCTTGGGTAAAGCCTGCCCCACTTCCCTTTCTCTCGTTTTCTCTCTCTATCTGCTTTCTGAACCTTCTCCGTCTCCCCCTTGCCTCTTCTTCCTCTTCCTTTTTCTCTCTTCCTCCTTCTTCTCTCTGCCTCTCCTTTCCACTCCCTCCCCAGCTCTTCTGCAAATAAATGGCCCTGTCATTCCAGCTCTCTTGTAGGTTTATAGTGAATGGAAGTGTCTTTTTGAAAAGCTTGTTCTGTCTGACATTCCTGACCGGCTCAGGAGCAGGGGCCTTTGCGCTCCCCTCTCTTCCGCTCGGAGATCTGCTCATTTGGTTAACGATTTACAGGGCTGCTACTGGGCCTTGCACACTCCACCCCACGGCAGAGGCAGCTGGGCTGTGCCCTCCGGAGGAGGCCGATGGCAGTCTTGGAGGGGTGCGTTGGTCCTGCCTCTGGTGGCTGTAGGCAGACCGGCTTAGGGCCTGCCTAAAAAGAAACGATTTATTCTCATTTATGATTCTTTAAAAAAGTTCACGGCTTTTATGATGAGCCTTATACATGCATTTAATGACATTAAAGTATTTGATTATGTGCATTAAGAAGAGGTCTGAGAGCTCTCTGGTGTCCTTAGTTTTAAGTGTATTTTAACTGCCTGCAATGAAAGGAACAAGACAAAAAACGAGCTGTGGCAGCATCTTCATAAATTCCGAGCTGTAAGTGATACACCTTTGCTGGCACCAGGAATGGTCCAGGCAGGTGGACCCAAGGAAGAAGAACAGTGGAGTTTCTATTTTATCATGGGTCTGGGGACTGAAATGGAAAGCAAGATCATCCATTTGTGCAATATATTCTCTTTAGCCAGCATCCAAGCCAGGAATGAG